ATATATATAGATATATATATATATATATATATATATATATATATAGATATAGATATAGATATATAGATATAGATTATATATAGATATAGATATAGATATATATATAGATATATATATATTGCTATGTATACATATACAATATCTTTTAGCAATACCCTTTAATCACACATCAAATAGGATGAGAAGCAGTTGCCTCAATGGACTATTTTGTGTTTTCTTTAACGATAGTTTTCAAGCTCTTATTTTGAAAGCTTCTACATTCCGGTATCAGTATGCATTATGTAGTCTCTGTCCTCATCAGTGAACGATGCTCTCGGATTAAACTGGGACGCCTTTTACTCGCGCATACCATCACGTGGCGGATGAGAAAAACTGCACGTAATGCTGGTGTTATTCAGACAATGGCCCAAAACCCAACGTCCACACGCACGGACTCACGGATTTTTAAGGCGCGCTCCCGCAAAATCCGTGAGCGTTTAGGGCTGTCCCACAGTCAAACCATCGGGTGTTTGCGGGCTCTCTCGCAGATATGTTAAACCCTTTATGAACCCTTTCCGTAAATCCGCATTTCTGCAGACTTTGCCCAAGGGAATTACCCACAATTCATAGCAATGTGACGTTAAACACAGGGTTACCAGTGGCAGCATGGTGACGTAAAAAAAGGTAAACAAAGAGGACGCACATGTGTTCGGCCTGGGGTATTACATTTTACTCCAAAAACATTAAGGATTAAAGATGGAACATTAAAAACGCAGAGATTATATTACATAGATGTATTAATCTAAATTTTAGTTTTAGTTTTGACAAAAACGAGTAAATAGATTATTTGTAATTACATCAAGTTTTGTGAGGAAAGGGCCTGGTAGACGTTCAAATCAGGGAGTAAAAAGTTAAAATAAATACCCACAATTGGACATAATATTTTTGACATTGTCATTGTAACGTGATATGTTGCAGCAAAGTGCTGTCTCATTCGTAATGCTTCCCCAAATCTCGGCGGGCAGGCACAATTCGGCAGAACTGGATAAAGTAAACAGACTGAATTAACCGCGAACAGCAGCATACGTTCCAACGAATTAAATCATTTTCAGTGAGCAGAAATATATTTCAAAGCAATAAAAGTAAGACAGTCGTATAGCTCATATCCATCCTCCAACAAAGCGTTTCAATCCGCAATTAAAAAGCCTGTTTTTCCAGTAAATGTCCTGTAAACACTGTGATATGAAGCCCTATCATGCCACACAAATGATCATTACATTGCATGCAGATAATTCACATTCTCTTTGTCCAAATAGTTTCTTTGTCTCCATATAATTGGGTAATGAAAACATTATGCCCCAGATGAGGCGTTGTGCCTCTTAATGTGATGTCATTTCAGCCTCATAAAGACACACTTGCTCTTACAGCAAAACAGTTTTGGGGATTTATATTGTTTACTGGAGGACATTTCCAAATCATTTTGACTACAGCGCCATTCAAATCCACCTGCCCGTTCACAAACAAAGCATAACAGACCTCTTTAAAATGCATTCAAGCCTTTGATATAAAGAGTAGACACCCAAAACTCTAACATCAATAGTATTAATTAGTATTTAAATGTAAACATTGCATTTGTTTTATTTCTTCGTCAAACTGAAGCTTACAAGCAGGAACAAAAACAAATCTGGGTACAGTCAGGGATGCTCTCTTTAACGAATGTACAATGTGGTGCATTACTGTGTTGTACTCTACTGAAATTAATGGAAAGCAATGATTTGTAGACAAAAAATGTATCTAAAAATAGACTTTAAAAGTGGTCAGTATGTCTTTCTCAGATATTTCTGGACCATACACAGTTCAGTGCAGTCAGATCTATTCCACATCCCAACTATAGTGGACACCATAGACGGGATGGCAGTTTAAATTGTTGTTTACTCACTATTTCCGATTTTAAGTAGAAGAATTATCTTAATTTTTTTTTCTAGTTTGCACCAAAGCATAAAGCAAGGTGTAGATATTACACAAATCAAACAGAGTTAACTTTTTCATAATTTTTCCACTATTTCTTTTTCACTAAATGTATCATTTCAATAAGATAAATTATATATTATCAATACTATTATTATATAATAATATAGTCAAGTTGTGATGGAGTAATTTAGGGGTAGTTTGTCACTCCCTTGTGGTCATTTATTGTAAAAGCCTCTATTCTTGTTGCATCCGGATGAGGGCACTTCTGCACTCTTTCTTTGGTGAAATTTGGGTAACACATGACTATATGTGTAAATACTGCAGAGCTATGGGCTATTACCATTATGTATACATTTGTAAAACACGTTGGAATGTTTTACAGTATATGAAAGATGTTTTCCACACTGAGTTACTCTGTTTCAGTTTGTTTTATTAATATAATTCAATTAAAATCTACTAATACCTCGGGTCTCTATCGGACTGACTGATCCTGGAGCATTAGACAAGCAAAGAGAAAATTAATTAATACACCCGATTGTAGTTTAATACTGTCCAGTAAATTATTTTTACTAGATTTAAATTAACAAATGTAATGACAGTTTTAGCTCAAGGCAACGTTAGCCGTTGAAGTAAATGTCAACATAATCAGATAAGAAAAACAAGTTGAGAAAGTAGGTCAGTTGTGTGAATGTAATGTACCTTCCTGTGAATACCGAACATATGTAGACAGATGCTCACAAGAGGAGGAGTGATTAGTATGAACACAGTTTCAGGGCATACATGTTCATTTAAAAGGCGCAGTCTCACTTCATTCATATTAGTACAATCAGGGGTGTGTGGGTGATTGTGAAGACATGTTTATTCACATGTTACGCTGAATCTCTTGTCACTGTAGCTGCACAACAAAACATAGAATTTACATAAAATAAAACGTGTTTTGTTGGGAGTAGACTTGAAAGCCGGTTTATTCAGTTTACAACAATGCATTTTACTTTATCCCAGGAGACATTTTTTACACTCATTTTGATTTACATGAAAGGGTCTACTGGTCTTCCTAACAGCTCAAGAGATTAGCCTGCATCATAGAAATTATGAGACTCGGCAACTGGAGCTGTTTTTTTACATTCATTAATTCAGTGCTACATCACAGGGCAGCTGGTTTTAAATAAATCATGACCTTGGCAAGACCACGGTCCGGTGCTGAACTGAACCGACTGCAAAACACTTTCAAATTATAATAAGTTGCCCTCCCAGGGATTTTTGAGCTATCTCGTGCCTTTGTTGACATTCAGAAGTGTGTGGACAACACGTTTTCTACTTGAATATTTAGTATGTTGCCAACAGTTTTGACTGGTAGAAAAAAAGAAGAAAGATTGATTTAAATAAGACTCAATCAGGCCCAAAGCTTTGTCCAACCTATTGACAAAGTTGAGGTAAGAACAATGAACTGTAAATTAGAGTCAAAACTGTATTGATAAATCCCACATTAAGGCAGTTTAATATTTATCAGAACACTTTTTGAAAAGCCGGCCAGTTAGACTTCCATTAAGTTTGCTCCCAGTTTCATACTAATTCTAATCAGGTTTTGTGTCTCACTGGAAAAGTTACAAAATATAGTACCAGACAATGTGCAGCCTGAATAAGGTCGATCTGTGAGTGTGCTGCTTGACACTTTACTTACGATTCACAAATTAGCTTTAAAAACTACAGTGTCTAGCTGTTTAACTATGTATATATCTGACCAAATCTTAAGAAATCCTAAGATTTACATCTTAAAAAAAAGTAAGAAATAAAGTATAGAGGTAGATAGGTGGGCTAATTCATGTATGTGTGGGGGTGTTAGGACTTAATGATTCACAACTGGTGAGTTTCACATGCTCCTTGTTGGTTTTTAAGAGTCCCCCGAGATACCCGGGTGAACAATGAACATGTGGTGCTTCAGTGTTAACGGGGGGGGGGGGGGCATGGAGAAACATCTGCAGCAGTGTGAGGAGACGGCAGAGGCTGGTGTTTCAGCAAGACCGTCTACTTGGGTTTCGACGGGCATTTGTGTGAGGAGGTGGAACAATTTCGTCTGCAGTTTGATGTCATGCAGGTTAAGGACAATCAGACTTTTGATGGGGGAAGATGAAACTAGGGCAGGCTGCAAAACCCGTACAGAGGGAGATGTTAATTCAGAATCACTGAATGAAAAAGGAGATCGTTAGTGAATTAGGTCAAGGGTCAAAGGGTAATTACATCCTTGGAGGGTGTCAAGCTTCTTCTCAAAGTGGGAGACACAGTCCTCAGTGAACAGAGAACAGGGTACTGAGGTCAGAAAAGGTTTCATCAGAATCTAGAAAGTGAGAGGAAGGAGAAAATGAGAAGTGAACGGAAAGGGAAGGGTATATGTGTTTCCCATACGATGAGGTGAGACAAGAGGGGAACGACAGGACGTCATATATCATTCAGGAGATCAAGACAAGCCGATGAGCTGGAAACCAAACGAGGCGCCAAGATAGATAAGACGATGGTTTAGTTGCAGAAAATACAGAACCAGAGCGTAGATAAACAAAACACCCCAATCAAGCATATTCAAGTCTCTGACCCCACGGGCACATGGAAACAATTTGACAATAAAATACTGAGAATCTAAACACACCACATGAGGGCAGCAGTGACTCACACCGCCGTCGCCTTTCTGACAGTGGAGCCATGTTTATACTGCATGCAGTACATCATCTCAAAAGCAGAGCGTTAAGAGGAT